AGTGAGCATTAGCTTTCCATTAGATGTCTGGGAAACTCCTGGCACCCACACTAATTTCCTTATGACCGTAATCAACATAAGCAATAATATATTATAAAGTGAAGTATGTAAAAAAAACCCAGCTGCCATTTAAAGCATGTAAACACGACTGTAATACATAACAGCCTCTCAAAAAGGTTACTTTTTGGTTTCAGCAATCTAAAGAGTAGTTTTAACCAAGTAAAACAATTTTCTGGGGACACTGCTGGTCACATTTTTGAGCAAGCCACTCGCTACCATAGATGAATTCACTTCATGCAGAAAGGAACCCCGAGGTGCTCATAGAACAACTCATCGTTGTGTCTTCCCTCACCTCCTGCAAACACCTTTCAGCCCTTTCAGTGAAATATGTCGGTGTCATTTATGTGAACATGAAGGACATCTAGTGGAGCCTTGCTTGCTACCAGCAGAATGCACAGTTTTAGCCTCTGCTCCCCGACTTCTCATCCTTGCTCCTGAAAACCAGCGCATGCTTCTGTTCTCTGAGGACAGGCAGGGAAGTGCAAAACGGTACAGATTTCTCTCTTGCTCTTGTCAGCAGGGACGTGCAGTTCCTCTCTGGCTGCACTCCCTCTGCAGAGCACGGTGTCTTCGGCCCTTTGTCAGCCTCCTGACCTGTGTTCCTTCCTCTCCACTCACTCTCCCAGCACCGAGAAGCCTGGAACAGTCAGTGCCACAACCTGCACAATTCTTAGTGAGAATATCGTGCATTTAGCCTATTCAGAAATACCAGGGATTACAGCCAGGTAGACTTGCACTTTCTGGACTCATCTGCACTGTAACACTTTAGGAGTGTAATTCATGGGCAAAACCCTCTTAATTTTATCCTAGCTCAACACCTTAGCACAGAGATTACAGAGGGCTTAAACTTTCCGCAGAAAAACAACTGAAGGCTTTTGTAGCTAGGGAATCAAACTCGTGTATATGGCTAGGCACAATTAAGTCTGCTGTGCAAAAAAACCCAAAGGCTTATTCAGATTGCCTTGTAAAAGCTTAAACATAAATATTTAATTCAGAATATTTTCTAAATTCACTTTCAAACCCCATCACTCACAGTATTTCAAAGGCTGAGGCACAGAGGTGTTTTATCTCTAAAAGAACAAGTAAACAAATGCAAGTTTCTCCCTGTTCATTTAGCTAAATATGTCAAAGCAAGAAGTTACTAAAAAATTAGGAAATATGTAAATAACAACCATTCCAATAAGTGGGTATTTCTCATTATGGAGATATAAACCAGAAAGGACGAAGGGCATTCTGTGTGTCGTTTCTACTGCAGTAAAAGCTGGGGTTTGTGCTGGAGTTAACATCCCCTTCCCACAGGGCATCTCTGGCTGCCTGGCTGCTGCAGTGGGTGCCCTTCAGGACACACTTGCCCTGCTAAAACCAGGCACAAAAGCATTAAGGAATTCCTTGTCTCAGAACCCAGTGTTAACTGCAATGGGTACTGTGATGCATTTTCTTAATCCCTCTGTACATCCATGTAGGAGCTTTGGATGGACAGTCCTCTGCTGAGTGGACTCAACCTCATTCCCATGGCCCCACAGGGCGAGGACTTGACATGTGCACAGCTCTGCACACTGAGCCTGGCACCCAAGTGCTCCACAAAGGAGTGATTCACATCACGCTGAGAAGAGACACAGTTTCCATTCTCAGCTACAAATATTTTTAGCTTCTCTAACAAACAGAACAACTTGTCAAGATGACCCAGGAAGAGTTTGAAGAAGAAAACTCAGTAGAATTTATGGTCAGAGACACATGATGAGGATGCCAAGACTCTAATGCAAGGAGCATCCTGTGCTGGAGCTGGGATGTGTGGATGTCTCCTGGCTCAGGCACTGAACAACCCCAAGTCCGACACTTACATGTACTCACCCTCGCTAGAGGGTATTTCATTCATCTTGTGCATGAAATCAGCGTGTTTGTGACATCTAGGAAAGGCAGGAAGAGGATAACCAAATTCACTACATCAATGATGGAACACTACCAGCAACGTACTAAGTTTTAAACAGTTTTGAAACAGACTTTCTAGGTTTTTTTATAATATGATCATTTTCTTTTTTCAGGTTTATGTTCAAATTTTCTCTCTTCCTCTCAAGGGATCAGGATTCAGTCCAAACAATTCCTCAGCAGAGATGACCAATACAATTTTGGCTGTCTATCAGCTACTAATGCTGTCCTACTTTCCTCCCTTTCAAATTTGAGGGAAATACACACTTGATTCTCTTAGTAAATGAAAAGTTCATCTATCTCACCTGAATGGAAACGTAAGTGTTTCAAATTATTCTAAGGAGGGATTAGAAACCTTTTATGAATTAGTCACTGTGCATTGGTAGAAACCTTAAAATTACATACTGAGTAATGACTCCAGGAGTTACCAAACACTTCACAGAATTCTCCCAGACTGAAATTTTTCCTCAGCTTCCACAGCATCCTGACTAGGTCTGTGGCCTTTTTGTCACTGCCCTTACAGCTTAGCTTTCCACACCAATCTGGAACAAGTTCTGCTGCTCAGAGCAAATGTCCCCAAGCAGCACAAGTGGGATGTCACATGGCAGTTTGTGAGCAGCCATTCTGCTGTTTGTAGCCCAGGGGAAGCAGACTGAAAGGAGTTATGGTTATTATTAAAATAATATTCAAGTAGATTTTCAGAAACACTAGAGGTGCAGTGACTGCAGACTGAGAAATGCTCCTGGGAATTTGTACCACAGTGTCTAAATTTTCACAGCAAGCAGCAAAGTCTGAGTTCTTTGATTTCTCATTGTTCAGGTGGAGACAAACAGAGAAGCTGGAGTGAGGGGTTAAGGTGACTCCACATTTCTGAAAGTTGAACAGACCTGTTTCAGCCTCAGAACTGAGAATCTGAGAATGTCAAGTTCACTGGAGATTTTGGGAATGCAAATGGATGTGGGTACACAGATGGGGTGAATTGTGCTTCCAATGAGCAAACAGCCTTGGATATAAACATTGATCCAGAGTAACTATCAAATCCTACATGAATAGCAGGAGTAACACCATGGACAAACACCGTGAACCACTCCTGTACCCATACAAGTAGGCATTCTAAAGATGTCCTTTCCTCTGTGCTGTGCTTCCTCTAGACTTTACAGTTTTGCTACTTCTCAACTAGAGAAGTCACTAATAGCAATAATAAAAGTCATGCAGAATACATTTAACAGCAAGGTACCATATCCTTGGATATGGAAATTATTGCCTTGTATTAATATTTATTGTTTACCAACTGTATAATAGGACAGTTAAATGGTCTACTTGAGTCATTTTGTGAGGATGCATTTACACTTACAATGTTTAATAAAATATTTGCCAATAGCTATCTGGATAATATATACACATTTTTGGCTCAGCCTGTGGGCCAGTCTGTAGAGCAATGTTGTGCTGGTGTGTTTCAGTCACTGCTGTCATACCATTCTCTCTCACACAGACACACTCTCTCCAGCTTAACTGCAGCAGAACTCAGTGGTCAGGATGCTCTGCAGGAGGAGTTACATTAGAAAAGTGAGTGGTTTAAAATGCACACCTTGTCTAATATTTGCACAGCTTTCCATGGCCCAGATCTGTAATTCTGCTTCACAGAAATTTTACAGACATGTTTCTACATACACTCATACACGTTGCTCTGAATTTATACAGAGCAACATGCATTGTTGTCACAGAGCAGCTATGCTCTAGCCAGGAAAATTTAGGTTACTACATGTGAAAAAGAGTCCTATTGTTTATCCAAAACCAAGGATCACATCTGTGCCGACTGGCAGTTAGGCAGAGCCATCTGTCATTTTGGGGTATCCTAATGGGATTTGGCATCACAAGATGAGGTTCTATAACCAGGTAAAGATCAAGGGACAAGAATGCCTCAAGGCCTCAATTACCCACAACTTCACATTGTGGTGCCTTCAGAAATCTGTTCTGGGAACCACGTTAAGTGCAATTCATTGATGTTTATGGTTCACATTTGCTGTTCCTGGAAGCAGAATAGCTTGTAAAATTAGCAGCTGTAGAAAAAGGGGAAAGCTAAGAAAAGGGAAAAAAACCCACTTGAAATAGTAGAATTTTGATTTTATTTTTCGATACTTCTGACTTTGGCATAAATCCAATTTAACAACACTACTTTCAAAATGCCCTTTATTTCCAGGTGATCTTTCTGTATTTACACCCTTAATAGGGTTTATTTTGTACTCTGTGTGCAGTCTGTAGACAGAGCTCCAGAGACCCTTGCTTCTGAAACCTTTTAGCTTTGTAAATCCTGAGTGCCCTCTATATCGGTAGACATTTTATTAGCTCAGAATTGGATATTTTGTGAAATCAAATAAATAAACAAACAAACATATCACCACTGAGAATATGCAATGCTGGTGGAAAAAGGTGGATAATTCCCCACCTATTATTCAAAAATAATCCAGAATGGATTATTCCAATTAGAAATGTGATTCTGTGGACAAAGCACTGCACTGACACAGACAGCTATTTGTACAAATTAGAGATACAAAGTATCTTCCCTGCCCAGAGAAAAGCAGAGAAGTCCTCAGTAATATTAGTAATTCATAATACAATTTGGAGACAGGATAATTTGTATAAACTTGTCCAGGTGTTATGAAAAAATCCCTTTTATGAAAGAATCCACCTTTTTGAGTCTACAGAAATAGAGATGCTATTAAAGTTTTAAGATAAAAACAATCCCCAAACCCCTGCAATGAGATGCCAAACCAAATATTCTTCCTGACAGGAAGTCTTTGGGCCTAAAATGTTTCTAATATCTTCTGGTTTAAAATACTCTGTGAATCTATAACTTTGCACTGCCAGTCTAATGAAGACACCCCTAGTAACGATGCCTTGAATTTCTCTTTGAGAACTGTTGAAGTTCCCAGTAGATGTAAAACCACTCACATGCTGTGAGGACAGACTCCTTGGGTGTGTGTGAAACAAAGTCAGGACATTTGGTTATGTACCTAATTTCCTCTGAATTATTTCTGTAGCAATTGTAGTGTGGATAAATGGGGATTTACCCAGAAGGTTTCCATTCCCTCAGCTCAGCTCAGCCAGTCCCTTTGCAGAATGGTGCTCCCCGGGACAGCAGCTGCCAGGTCGCTGTGCACGTGAAAGGAGGAGGTTTGGAATGTTCTGAGCACCCATGTCACAAACCTCATGCCAACCCTTTGGTGCTTGTCATCACTCTTTTCCCAAGCTAAACATCACAGGACACAAAGGTTGCCTGGAAACTGGACCAAACCTCAGGATGCTCAAGAGTATTGTTGCAGAGTGGTACTCTCACAAGAAGGATGTGATTTCCATATTATGTTAAAATAGCTCAGCTTTTTGGGGATGTAACTGGAACTTCCTGTGCATGTTTTTTACTAAGAAATAATTTTTTTTCTTATCAAATTTTCAAGTAGCCAGAGGTCAAAAGTAGAAAAAAGGTAATAAATTGTAAAAAGTCCAGGGAATAAAGACTCTGGTTTTAATACCTCCTGTCAGCTATATTAAAAAAAATAAATAATAAAAAAAAATTTTAAAAGTCTGATTGTGAGAGGAGCTTCTCACTTCTCAGGAGCACACTGCAGGAAGTGCATATCAATAGATGCAAGTTAAATTTTTATATACAGCTGCTTGACCAACAGATCTCACCAAGAGAAATAACAGCCCTGGCTGCGCTGGAGAGGTGTCGTGTGTGGGAGCTGCTGCCTCTCAGCGTGGTGTGACCCCACCCGGGCAGGGCAGGGCAGGGCAGGGTGGCAGCAGAGCCAACCTCCACTGAATTAAATAACTTAGGGCAGAGCATGGAATACAGTCTCTGTTATCATATCTCCATGCCTCACACTTTATCACACCACTTTGTGATCCACACCATTTTCTTCCATTCAAATCTGCAGGTGATCTGGCAGATGACTTTTCAGGGACCTGGCTTTATTGTGTATTCATTAGAGAGATCTGAGAAGACTGCAAAGAGGGGAGTAAGGCTACAGATAAAACTGACAACAAAACCTAAAAATCTATCCTTTCTCTTCATTACTCATATATAAATTTGCTTCTAAGTGTATGTGAGTTCTATGATACATATTCAGTACTTCTGTGAATTTCTATCTGAAAGAGACACTACAAAGGTATGGTGGAAAGACTGGAACATTAGTTTGTACAGCAAATTCTGAAACAGCAGAAAGGGGAAAGGATGTTCAGAATGCGATGCTGGGGGAACCCCGACCTTATCTGCAGGATCCAAGCAGCCATTACCAGAGAGAAAATCAGGTTGTCTGCAAATACTGTTTTCTGCCTTTGAACCTGGAAGAGAATGCGAGGGACTTGTGAATGTAGCAAAGAAAGAGGAGTGTACACAGTGATGCTTTTCTTCAGGATTTAAATACTCCTTTTGCAAACTTAAGAAAGCTGCATTGTTCATGAAATTTAATGTTCTAACTTGGTCCATTTTCAGAAGGTAAATCCTAAAAAGCTCAGTGTGGCATTTTTAAACAACTGCCTCCACAAATCTCCAGAATTTTGTGTTTCTAACCTTGCTTTTAAGTGCTTGCATGACTAATGAAGTGTGACATTGCTGAGATTTGCTAGCATTCTTTTCTGTAACATAAGTTCTAGCTGACAAAAATATGGCTAAATTTAGATACCTGCAGCAAACAAGAACCTTCAAAACAAAAGCAGGCTTAAGGATTAAAACTGGCTATGACATGTTTGTGCTCAACATAGGCAAGTTCACATAACCCCTTGTCTGCTGCCCCGAGCACGGAGTTGTGGGCTGGCTCAGAAAAGCAGTTTGCTGAGTACTGGCTATAAAAGCATTACTTAGTCTGAAATGCTGCTGTTCCAGCAGGTTGTGCCAGTGTGGCAGGTGGAGCCTGCTGGGTCTCTCAGATTCTTATTTTTTTCAAATAAGTCATTAAGGAGGGAAAAACAGACGGAAAAAAGACCTCCTCTGTAGGTAACAAACTGGTGTTAAGAAACATTGCTCAAACAGCAGAGAAGTCTCATACCAGCATCTCAAAACTCTAAATGCATTCAGGTAGTATATTGCATTTTTCCAGTTTTCTGTTGTCTATGTGTTCTTTAAATGGGTCAAATCCAGCTGAATTTGAACATGAATGAACAAATAACATGATTATCCCTAGACATTTTCTCACATATTCATGAAAGATTCAACCCACAGTTCAGTATTTGTCAATAACAGTCAAAGTGAAGTCAACTGATGGCTTATCAGACAAATATAAAAGATCTGCAATGAGAGTTACCTAGTTAAATCCAGGGGAAAAAAAAAAAAAAAAAAAAAGAAAGAAAAAAAGGGAGAGAAGTCTGAAATCCTGCAGCTGAGTTCCAAATATCCAATTTCTCCTTTTATCTTCTGTTTCCTTTTTTTTTTGCATAGTGCCAGACCACCTTAGAAGCCACAAGAGAATGATATATATAAACACCACTGCTTTCTAATACTTCTGCTGGTAGAATTAACCACATTATTCAAATGTCAATTTACTGCAAAGATAAATTCTTTTAAATCAAAGTACCATTTCAAATTGAATTTTCAAGCCATTAACTTTACTAGGCTAGTCCTGCCAGCATATTGAAAGTCTACCAGGTATTCTCATAACAAGGTCACTTTTTATTGCTCAAACTTTGCATTAAAGCACCCTAAAAAACATAGTCATTAAAAGAAGTAGTCTAAACAATCCAGCTGCTGTGGAAGAGCTGCCTTCCTTTTATTCACAGTAAAATTCAACCTTTATTTTCTGGGAAAAAAAAGCCACCCAAAATATGCTAGGACCTCTCTGTAGGAACAGTGAATGAGAACCTACAGATTATGTTTCTTATTTATTTTCTTTGCAACTGTGTTCTTAGTCTCGGAGAGAACATTTCCTACTCTAAATACATATTTTGAATTCACTGTCAGATTTAAAAACAAACAAATGAAATACCCAAACAGAACAGTGCTTCCAGAAACATTTGTAGCCTCTTGTCCTGGAAAGAGGCAGAGCTGCAGCTCTATGAGAAATTCCTGGCAGGTCTGATGGCTCTGTACTCTAAATCTGTGCACACTCCAACCACGTAAATAACCACACAAAAGTCATCACTTTGGGAAAGTATTTTACTAACAAAACCACGACTTTCCTCTTAATCTCATTTTTCTCCTGGCAGCTGTAGCACCTCTGGCACTATTTCTGTGTTTAACCAAGACATCTCTGGAAGTTCCAGAAATCAGCAATACTTCAGGAAGGTAAAAGAAAAAAAAATAGTTTCGGGCTGCTCCCCACCATCCCATCTTCTCCTGGTTCCAGGGGAGTCAGGCACATTCTGCCATCCCTCTGGAAGAAGACAGATCACAATCAGTCACTCCTGGCTCTTGTGTGTCACCCAGCACGAGTTCCCCACACTGCTCAGTGTCCAGGGGAAGGGGGACACAGCCCTGCTGCTGTTCCTGCCATCAGCAAACAGCTGCCAGCAGCAGCCAAGGGCAGGTGCTGCTCCCTTCCCTCTGTACTGGGGCAACGTGCCCTCCACCCAAATGGGATTAGCAGAGGCCTCACTAGGCTGGAGATGCCAAGCAGGAGGATGACCCAGGCAATACATGCTGCCATCCAGGCCCTGGCTGTTCTAGTGGCCCCAGAGCTGAGATGAACTCTCTGGCTCAGCTCCTCCTTCCCAGCATCATCAGGGACTTACGGCACTGTCATGCCTGGAGCTTGAATACCAGTCAAATTCATCCTACTGCCTCTAGGAAAAAATACCAGGGGTCAGGAAAGGGCAGTGAAAACGGGCAAACCACAGAGGAAGGTACGCTGTCCTCCAGTGCAGAGGAAGAGCAGAGATACTCAAAAGAAAAGCAGGGCTAAAAATATCAGGAAGAGGGCAGAGGTGCTCACATGGTGCAGGCATACTGGGGCCACAGAAATGCATTTGCAGCTACTTCTAACCTGCACTGATGGAAAGACAGGTACTTGTGTGGGGAGAGTTGAAAAGATGTTTTATTTCCCAGCTCTCTGTACTTCCTCCCCACACCCCCAGTTTTGTCCTTGGCAAAAATAATTAAATCTTGGAACAAGGGACAGAGAACAAGGAGAGAGAACAAAAGTTGGAGTGGGGAGATGTCTTAGAAAACCCAGTTTTTCACCGTGATTTTTAAAGTTTGGGGACATAGTTTTGAAAACAGAATATCATGCTTGCTTTGCTTTTAATTGAAAAGAACTCAGACAGCCCAACTCTTAATTAGCTTCCAGATAAAGGGGTTGTTAAATTACTGACAAGCAGAAGGCAAAATAACATAGTGTCATCAAAACAAATAAAATCACTATAGGAGAGCTTTAACTGTACAGCTCCATCTTCGGTGGCTTTAACAGAGCAGAAACACCTAAACCATCAACTCAAGAGTTAAGAACTGCATCCTCCTTTTGTAGGGACTGAGAACAAAAGGCAAAGCTGTAGGCTCAGGGTTTCAAGCTTCCAACACTAAAATTAGTTTTGGAGCAACTGGAAGTGCAACACTGACAAGTCAATTCACAAACTAAAAAAAATTTAATAAAAATTATATTAGATTAAAAAAACCCAACTAGCCCAACTCTTTTAGTACCATTAAACTTCATCAGTTTAGAATGTGCACCTTGCTAACATGGAAAGTAATTAACTGAATCCAACTCTCAGACACTGGGCTCTGTTTAAGAATGGATTAATTCATGAATTATTTAAATCGATCTGAGATCAGATTACCACTGAAAAACATGGATCTGCACTCTTTCCACTCCCTGTGTTTTCTTGGTTGCTCCCTTGAAAAGGCTGTTTGGTGGGACCTGAACTGTTTGAAATCTTTCCTTTTACTTCTTGGCTTAAATTTCACTCAGATAAGCCTCTCACCAGAATTAGGATAAGAAAGAGAGGTGAAAGAGGAAGACAGGAGGGCTGAAATCTTCCTTTTATTGGCAAATAAAATCTTCCTTTTATTATATTTTATCCTGAAAGCAGTGTTGAAAAGGCACCTCACTTTTGCAAAGGTGTTCATTGTAGGAAATGTTAGGTGGGATGCAGATATTGGCCATATCCACAACAAAAGCTGTGCATAGCACCCCTCATTTGCCCCTTTGGATGGTTACTAATTTGTAAAGTCAAAGCGTATATCTAAG